TTTAGGAAACAATTTTTTTTTCATTTTTTTTTTTACTTTTTGGCAATAGAAACAAATTTTATGACCAGTTGTGGAAAAAAATATCACTTTAATGGACAATTTCCATGTAAAACAAAGCCAAACGAATAGAAAATTTAAAAATTTTCCGGGTGGAAAATTATACCAATCAAACACACTTGAAATCATTTTCCCTACAAAACATTTTCTAGGCAAATCTTTTCCCTGTAAAACATTTTCTTTCCACTCATTTTCCACCCTTACAATCAAACGCACCCTTATTGAACAAAAGTGCTTTCTTATTGTGTCAAATACAATAACTAAGTCATTATTTAGTTTGGCTAAAAAAAAATAAAAAAATTTAGTAGATTTAATGAAATGTATGATTGAAAAATTGATAAAAATTGTGTGGATCCCATAAAATATGGGATCGAAATGGATTTGGAAAAAAAATCTGATTTTTTAAAAATAAGATTCAAAGAGAGGCTAAAAAATGAGTATCAATTATAATATTTTTTTTAGGCTAAAATGAGTACTGATTATAATTATGTTCTTTTATATAATTATTATGACCGTGTTTGATCCACGGGGCCCTAGAGTTTACGGTCGGGTACTTACCTCAATGGTCTTGAGGGGATTCGAACTGGTGACCAAAGATAATATAGTACAAGGTCGCACCCGACAAACATATGACTGGTATTAGATTTAAAATTGATATTTAAATTGTGGCAACGAGGTATAATAAACTATCACAACCATTACCATCCCTACTTGTCGAGAAGTTTCGAGAGTTGGGGTGGGACGAATATTAAAAAAATCCTCATTTGCCGTCTTAGATTGATGGACATACAAGTAATAAAAAATAATACTAAAAAAATAAAAATAAAATAAAATAATGAGCAGTGGTGGAGATTTTTGTTGTGCCAAATTTGAGAAGCTACCATTTTCCCCCCTAAATCTGCTGTGAGATACTGCATATTCTTCCATCATCATCATCATCATCATCATCATCATCATTATTCAAATTACACCTATAACAATTATGCTGGTTTGACAATCAGAGATTAAGACTCTAAAAGCAATCTCAATGGGGGCTAATTTGTTGCCATGTTGATCCACCAGCGATTAGATTTAAGTGGCTTAGGTTTTGTAATATACATGTGTTTTGAAACCATATCAAACTACTCAGAAAAGTAAAAACTTGGCCTTGGAGCGAATTATAAGCAAAAATTTGACCGTTATACTAACCAATATTCCATTATAGTTGACATGATTTAGACAATTCACCGTGACAATTAATCCTTGTGGTTGTCCATTGCCCATTTTGCCCTTCTAAAATGTGCACAAATAATTTACGTACTGTGAAAAAAATGGGTCAAAATGACTTTTTCATTACACAACCCATTTCAGCCATAAATTGCACAACCAAAACAACTTTGTTTTAGGATGTGTGAGCATTGATTTGATGAGAACATCGATTCTCGAAGAAAATAGTGCACCCAGAGGCTCGGCCCTTATTTGAGCTCCATTTTTTAAAGAATATTTATTGTCTTTCAGTTTCAAAATCCAATCTAGTTAAAATTGAACTTCATCAACCTTTTCTCTCACCGTTCTTTCCTACCTGATTTTGTTGGATTTTCAATTTTCAAAAGTATTTTTATATATTCAAAAATGAATTTGATGTGGTTAAGAGCGGTGGTGGTGCTAGTGTTTGGATGTTAGATTGGATTAGGTTTTTAGTGCATGGCATGAGTATTTGTTCTATTGGTGGTGTAGTTTGGAATTAAGGATGACGAGTGAAGTAAGGTTGGAGATTGGTCACAATGGTGGTGATGGTGGGTGGCATCGATGGAGATGGTCATGGAATTGAAAGATGTGGTTGTTAGTGGTGCCGGCTGGCGATAATCAATGACGTATATCTTTATGTTAACATATATGCTACAAACGTAACACAACATTCTGTAACAAAAAATTTGAATAATATTTTTCGAATATACCTTTGGATGTATTCACGGAAAAAGGAGAGTGAGGGATAAGATAGGATAGATGGGCTGGCCTTGCACACCTCTATGAACTGTTCCATAAGGGCAACCTTCGATGCATCCATTGCACAGCTTAGGTTTTGCCACTGATTTGCAATTTCATAAAATTAACAGAGGAATTGGAGTACTTATAGTGTACCCACTTTCTACTTTCTAGTACCTTCTATTCTTATAATCATTTATTTAATTTTATTCCTTTCTTCTAAAAATTGCATCCACACTACCTTAACTTTAATAACTTTTCGACTTTTATGTTTAATCCGTATCATTTTAGTAATTGACCTTTCACATTATAGCAATTTGTAATAACTCGATTAAATTGTGATGTGAACATAATGTAAAACAAAAGCAATAATATTTAGTGTAACTAAAAATTGAAAATAACTTGTCAAAATTTTAGGCTTTGTTCGGTATTTCTATTATTTTAGGATAATCAACTTTAGCTATGTTGGAGAAAAAATCATGTGCAGAAAATTGTTAGTCAAGTGTTGAGTAAATTTTTCGTTTCAAAATTAGTGTATCTTTCAAAATCAACATAGAATTTGGTAAACAAAAGAACTTTATCGTCCTCCTCATCATGATTGTTGACGTTAAAAATTGTATATACAAAATTCAAGCCAACTTCAAAGAGGAATACAACTTTGATTAATTGTCGATGTGAAGTTACAAATGATTCAACTACTCCTTTCTTTGTCTGTAGGAGATTTTTGAAATGTAAATAAATAATGTAAGAAGATTTGTAATGCATCAAAAGCCATCCCCCCTTCTTTTCCAATATTTTTCCCTTTTATAGGAAAAAAAATACATGCTTCATTAATTTCCTGTCTTGTCACCTCCAATTCCGAGCTGAAGAAGTACATATGTTGGAATGATTCCATTGGCCTCCGAGCACGATCTGGTAGCTATGATGAGCAAATCTTACAGGCGTGCATTAGCAATTAATGAAGTGAGTCTTGGGAAACGAGCCTAACTATCTGATCAGAGCTTATGTAAGCACTAATGTAAGATCATTCCCTGTGGATTCCTCTGATTGGTTGTTTTGTTGATTATGTCAGTGATCTGCAATCATTAGAATCCCCTTGAAAGACTACACAATCTTTCTAGATATGCTAACCATCCGAGCCGACCTCATACCATCGAGCTCGCATTGCCACGTACTCATCACATGTTTTAATCTGATTTGTCCGACCTTAGAGCTCATCTCGTCAGTTTAGTTCATTAACAATTGACAGATTTGAATTGGTTTAATGAGCTCGACTTGTCAGGTCATCATGAGGTTTAACTTTACAGGTGGTCTCCAGTAATTAATGAATTACTTAGAGGATGAAGCTAAGGCATATGATTGGTGGAGTTAGGAGGTGCTGTCATGAGCCTATTCAAATGTAATTGATTAATTGGACGTTTGACAGCGTATAAGGAATTTTAAATCATTATATCTCCTTGAGCCCCGAGCTGACCTCACATATCCAAACTGATATTAGTATAAGATTAATGCATGTAGCCAATTGTATTTAATGAGGTCGCCTGGTGAGGTCGGATTACCCCCAGGTCGGTACTCCCTGGTGAGGTCGGATATCAACAATGATAAATTGGAAAGTTTCCCCACCTATTCAATTCTTTCTTGTGATATTTAGATTAGCCTTATGTTGTAAGGCAGTGATAATACAAGACAATTTGTCGGGATTTTACTTCTTATAGAAAAGATTTATAAAAAAGTTACATTAATCATTTTTTTCTAAAAAAAAAAATTCTAATTTGACAAAACACTTTTAAAAAAAATTATCTAAATATATTAAAAAATAGTTTATTAATTTTCGAAAAACTTTTGACTTTTTCAAAATCTTGCCAAATGGACCAGCATGTATTAACTTTTGTTTTGTACGTATTTAGCTTAAGATAATAAGTGGGACATATATTAACTTGTGGGAATTTAGCTTAAGAGCGTAAATGAGACACATCGTAAAGTTTAGGTCCTGCTTTTGCACTTTCGCTTTCACCTTTTGCTTTTTCATCTTGATAAAGTCATTTAGGGGCTTCTCTTTGTATTTCAGTTTTGTATTTTAAGTTTTGAATTCATTTTGGGTTTTATATTTTGAGTGTCTCTTTTGAGATTGTTGAAAATGTGTTCTTTTTGACATTTTGAAAAGTAATTTAAAAAACACCCAAAACGCGTTTTGAAACTTTTGACTTGATTATAACTAAAAACACAAAAAATAACAAATTTTTCGTTTTGGGTTTTCTTTATAAATTTTTAACTTATTTTCAAAAACGCGTTTTCAAAAATGGGAAAGAGAACGCGTTTTCACTGTTTTGAAAAATCGAAAACAGAAAACAGCTTGAAAATAGTAAAGAAAACAAGCCCCAAGATATTATTCCGTCCAACCGTGCATGCTAGCAGCAATTTTAGCTAGTTTTTCTCTATTTTTTAACAACACATCATCCAAAAAATTATTATTACAAAACTTATTTTTAACAAAAAAAAAAAAAAGGCTCAAAGAAAGCCTTAGTTACATAGACTTAAAAAATTGTAAATAGTTGGTGACCATAAGACAATTTTACAATTGGAATTAATTTCCACTTGTCATCATGCCTCTGTTCGCGTTTCATTTTTTTAAACTAATAAATCACTTTTTAAGAAATGACTGATGGATAAATTATGAGTCAATACAAAATGTAAAGTTAAAATTAACACATTTTTTGTTATTATGCAATGGAAAGTTTGCAATAATTAAAACAAAAGCTACATTAAAACATTTCTTAAAAGATTCTATATGACAAGGAAAACTCATTTTATTATGCAATCATTGGTCATTTCAAACTTAGTTTTCAACAATGTACAAATTAATAAAAAGGAAAGTTTGTGGCTTTTGTACAACAAGAATAGTAATTGGTTTGTCTAATAGTCAAAATGCTATATATCTCTTCAAGAACTCGACATTTGATTCTAAACTTATGAAGTTAGAGTTCCATGAATCTATAGCGAACTTAACGTTCTTATTTTCTTGTTGACAGGTTTGAGTGTGGACGTCAATTGAGTGGAACATTGATATCATGAATCATTAGATAAATGATGTTCTTGAAGCGAAAAATTGAAACTACATAAAATTAACAATTTTGCGAATGAATAAGATAAAGATATGTTGATGAAATCATTGTCTAACCACAAACTTTAAACTCGTACGAAAAGTGGGATTGGATTGATCCCATGAGATAACATAAGGTATGGAGGGAGGAAGATTTGTTAGGTTCTTCCTCGTCAGTAGATTGGTGAAGCTCACAAATATTAATAAAAAGGAAAGTTCCACAAAAAAATAAATTCTCTCTCAAAATACTGTTACATTTTTTTCTTTGTTTATCAAAATACAATTTTTTATTATTATTTTATCGTGTAAAGTATTGTGTTTCATACATTGTGCTGTCTATTTTCACCATCGTAGTCACTATTGTGGCCACCACGACAACCAATTATAACATATGATATTATATCCGCGTCATCATAATCTGCACCCCTACTACCATAACCAACATTCGTGGTCCTGTCATACCAACAACAACAACATACCACCACTGTCCACCTCCTCCATAAACCATCACCCCAAGGACCAAATCTTACAACGCCACCATCACTATCATATCTAAAACCATCACCATCTCTACCATGAATCGTGCACAAAAAATTGTCCATAACCATATGATTCCAAATCCAAAAACTCAGTCAGCTAAACCCTAACCACCGCTTCTCTCACCAACTTGTGCCACCATCGTTGCCACTCGCCACCTCCTCCAGATATGAAATCATAACCATCTCTACTGTAAGTCACCCACCCAAAACCATACCACACAGAACCGAAACCACAACCAACCAAACCCTAGCCATCGCTTCTTTTATTGTCACATTGAGCCAACACTAACATATGTAGGAAAATTGTTTCAATTACTTGGATATC